TTTTATTGCCACATTATTCAAACCTTAAATAATATCAACCTCTAGCATCTAAACGAATATATAACTAATGATGAGACTTTTAGTTCCTATTCAATGGGAAATAGTAAATATTTTCCTACTTGGAACTCAGTGACACATCACTGTTATTAACACAACTTTTACAAGTTTTAAAAAGATATATACAAAATATAAAGCCTTTCAAATTATTCTACACTTTAAAAAAATATCTTCCTTTAGTAGTCTCAGTGTGCTGCCTACTCTTATGTCAATTTGACACACAAACTAGAATTATCTTAAAGGAGAGAAGCTTGAGAAAAGGCCTCCAAAGATCCAGATGTATGGCATTTTCTTAATTAGTGACCGATGGAGGAAAGCAGAGACCACTGTGGGCAGTGGCTACCTAGGGCTAATTGTCCTATAAAAAGCAGGCTTAGCTAGCGGTGGCAGCACACGCCTTTAATACCAGCAATCAGGGAAGCAGAGGCAGGTGGATCTCTGAGTTCAAGGTCAACCCAGTCTACAAAGTGAGTTCCAGGACAACCAGAACTGTTACTCAAGAGGGAGGGAGGCTGAGCAAGTCATGGGGAGCAAGTGAGTAAGCAGCACCCCTCTGCATCAGCTCCTGCCTCCAGGATCCTACCCTGTTGGAGTTCCTGTCCTGACTTCCTTCAATGATGAACAGTGATGTAGAAGTGCAAGCCAAATTCCCTCCCTAACTTGGTCTTTGGTCATGGTCACAGAAATGGAAACCCCAACTAAGACACTGGATAGTTTTCACATAGCAGAAAGACGAATAGTCTAGAAGACAAACACATTACAAAATGTGACTGACTAGTCTGCTTGCTTAAAACTCATCATAGTCATGTTCTCAAACCCTCATGTTACTAAGCCAGCTGAGTTAAAAGACATGGCAACGTCTGTCAGTGACTCCCATTTCCACAAGAAGAGAGACAGTTAACACTGTAGTCTCCTGGTTGGTAATACACAAAACCATCTATAAAGTGTTTGAGCTAAGAATATTGAAATCTAAATAAAAGCAATCCTCTACCAATTCTAATTTCAAGAAACAGGGAATGGGGAACATATTTTTAAAAACACAGATATCTTTTTCTGTTTTAATGGTTCAGGGGGTAAAGTGATTGCTACATAGGATAGGGACCAGAGTTCAGTTTCCCAGCATCCTAAGCACAGCAGCACACTCACAACTCCGGTGCTCGGGTGTGACCCAGTAGGAGATGCGTCTCAGATTCCTCCTCCAAATCATTTTATATCCTGATTCCAAACTCATTCCAGCCATTCAGCAAAAATATTCACAGATTACCATCATCTGCATACCCAGTCCAAAAGTCCATGTTTTGGCAGCTGATCTGTAAATCTGGTCTTAATCTGCTGTGACAATCATTTTCCACATAAACACTATTCATATTTCCAGCCTGGAATATTCAACTTGTACCTTCAACTTTAAACAATTAATTCCCTAGTGACCCTAGCCTTCCATATCATCCTGAAATGTTCTCCTGGCTCATTTTCTATCCAATGAGCCCTCCTTACTTCTGCTATTCACCACTAATAGTCTCTTCAAGCTTGTCCAGGCTGGAGATGGTTCAGTGATTAAGCTGCTCTTCCAGAGGACCTGGGCCTAAATCCCAACACCTACCTGGCGGCTCTCAACAATCTTTAACTCCAATTCTAGTGTTCTGGTGCCCACTTCTGGCCTCCAAACCAGGTATGCAGGCACATGCGGTGCACAACCATACATGCAGGAAAAATACCATAAAGTAAAAATTAAAAAAAAAAAAAAGCTTTCACAACTATCCACTGTACACATATAGACTTTACAGACTTCTCTTACTGATCTTTTTGGAGAATCTTTAAAAGCCATACTAGAAAACAATAGTAGCTTTTATTTAATGGATGTTTATAATGTGCACAGCACTGTAATAGGCAACAGAGTCGTAGCTTCAATTAATACTCAAAAATCACTCTGAATGACAAACAATTATGTTTACATGTATCACAGGGAAACTGTATCTTTGGAAATTTATATTCCTTACCCACATCATGCTAAGTGGCTACATGCTTGTCTTTTTCTTGTTTTGTTTAGGAGACAGGGTCTCACTAGTTACAGCTATCTTCAAATCCACGATCCTCCTGCATGTAGCTTTTTGAGTAATGAGACTTGCAGGACTGCCCAGCACAGCCAGCCCCATTCCGATTTCTAGCTACAAGTCTTTGGAACCAAGTTCTTACCCACCTCATCTGTGTACCAACAGTAACTCGCTCAGGGCATGACACTCAAAGGTGAATTTACAACAGTTAACTCCAAAGTGAACTATAACACTAGTTTTAAATTCACATTTCTGTAGTTTAGATTGAAATTACCAGTATTAGTCTCCCTACAATAAATAGACTATATATCACAGAAGAAACAAACAGGAACAAAACAGTTTCCCCTACTTCAACATCTTTACCCCAACTTCTCAGGAACAGAACATAGAATTAAAACAAACAAACAAAAAACTGAAGTTCATCAATTTCATTACAGGGGAAGGGCATTTAAGGTAGCCTCTCCACTATTGCTTAGATTCTTGGTTGGAGTTATCCTTGTGGATCCCTAGAGATTTCCCCTAGTGCCAGGTTTCTTGTTAAGCCCATAACGGGCTCACTCTATTAAGGCATCTCTTTCCTTGTTGTTCTCTGTTCTTCACCCAACTCAACCTTCCTGATCTCTCATGTTCTCCTCCTTCCTCCCTCCCCACTTAGGTAGCTTTCTTATAGCTCTCAGGACCAAAAGCTCAGGAAATGAGTAGGCCTGGACTCACCTATATTTCAAGCCCTATTATTCACAATTTTTAATCGTCACGACGGCACCAACATTTCAGCCATAAAAACAGTGAAATAGCTTTTCTAAAGATGACATTATGGTCAAGTAAATATAATATGCTAAATACAAGGTTTAGTCTGAACTTTTTCTGAAATCATAGTAAAAATACAATAACCTATCATCAGCCCCCTCAATTCTGGCCAGCGTCCAGCCCTGTATAAGCCACATTATTTTCAAGCTCATTTTATTCTTTACTAACAAGTGGTCACTTTTGATTTTTTTTTTTTTTTTACGTTAAAGCAATCAAAACAAACCTGAACCAGATATTCAAAAAGGTTTGGATCAAGTTACTTTGAGTCACCAAAACTTCATGGTGCTTTTAATTATTACACTGTAGTAAGATATCCACCCCGCCCACACCTGTGGCACTGACCATACCCATTGGGGATGGGGACAGGGGAGGATGTGACTTGAAAGAACTATGTCTGGGGTCAGAACCCGGAGCTCTTTCATGCTTTCTGGACAGAGACAGAGCATCCAGAGGCATCCTTGGGACTGGAACCTGCTGCCGTTCATCTGTCTCTGTTGTAAGTTATTTCTCCAACTACAAATGATACTATGCTTTTAATATTTTCATCCTTAGATATTATCTGAATGGCATGTAAGCTGCCTTCCAGAAACAGTATTCTATCTGCTAGCTTACCATTATCCCCAGACATGGAACAAATTCTATCTGCCATTTTTTTCTATCTGATATTCCAGTTTTTTAATCTTATCATTTGATTTGTCAGAGAAGGAATGAGCTTTTTCTGCTAGCGTGTTAATGCATTGCATTGTTTCTGTTTTGGTCATTGAGGCAGTGGACATGGAACAAATTCTGTTTTCTAGTTGGTCATTTTTATGTTCCATGTTTTATCTATTCAGCCTGTTTTCCCTGATCCTTATTTTTCCACGATAACTGTCCCCACACTGGACCCTGAACAAAGGATGTCCACTCAAACTTTACAATCACCTTGATGAAATACTATCTCATCTCCATAGTAAAATCAAAGACAAAAAGTTGGTCACTACCAACAAGGAATTTTCTTAGAACAAAACACACACACACACACACACACACACACACACACCTACTAAGGACGGTGATTTAAGTTAGCAGTAGACTAAACCTACTAAGGATGGTGATTTAGGTTAGCAGTAAAATAAACCTACTAAGGATAGTGATTTAGTTAGCAGTAGAATAAACCTACTAAGGATGGTGATTTAGGTTAGCAGTAGAATAAACCTACTAAGGATGGTGATTTAGTTACCAGTAGAATAAACCTACTAAGTATGGTCATTTAGTTAGCAGTAGAATGCCAGTTCCATTATGACTGCCTCCAAGAGCTCCATTCACAAATTTTAATAGACTCACTCAAATGTAAGAGTAATGATTATTCTGGATTATTTTATAATGACATCATCCACTTAATCTATACCGGGGCAAATTTTTTAAATTGCTGTATAGCACATACTCTCTCCCTGCTACCACATTTACTTTAATTTCAGGATCTTTCAAATTTCCAGACAGTATTGAGTGCAGTTGCTTTCATTCTGTATTAGTTTAATGTTTCATCACTCTTCTTGCTCAGAGCTCCACATGATTTGAGAGGTATTTAATTTCTTGCAATAGTTAATATTCTCTTGATTTTACTGAGATTCAAAAGGGGTTTGAGAAAGCAAATACAAACTAATACATGAGTATTGTCTGATACAATATGGCTGGGAAGGAACAGAGAAGAAAAGAATATGAAACAGAAATACCAGAAATCTGACAGGCATTGCTCCAATATGCTTCGAACAATCTACAATTCTCCTAACAACATTAGAGATTTAAGTATTTTTAAAAGTACTTTAAGTAATTTGCTTTTGCAAGGAGTGGGGCTCTTGGGAAACAGAAGAAGCCAATCTGTATGAACTCAAGGCCAGGTCAACCCAAGGTCTACACAGTGAGTTCCTGACCTGCCAAGACTACATAGTGAGAACCTGTCTCAAAAAATAACCCAAAACCAACCAACCAAGCAAATAAACAAACTTTTGCTTTCAATGAATTTTTAAGAATAAAGTTATGGCTTACATAAAGCACTCTACAGCTGCAGACAACATGTCCTTATTATACTGTTTGAAAACTACTCACCGAAGTTCTATCAGGCTCTCCATCTGCTAACCCTGCCTCCATAATGGAAGATAGATTTATGCTTCTCCTTCCATTAATGCTTAGCCATTCTAGAAGTCTGGAAACCCTAGAGAAAGAAAATTATATGTATTAGGACTGACTAAAAATTAAGGCAAGTGCAAAATAACCATGAATTACAGTAGTAAGGAAGACTATTTTATGCTAAGGTTACTAGAAAATTAAAAAACAGATTTTGACAAAGGATTTTTAGTTTTGTTTTGCTTTGTTTTTAAGAATTCATCTGTAGACAGCTCGATGGTTAAAAGCACCTGTTCCTGGGGAGCCACCTGTCCAATTCCCAAAACCCACTTAGCAGCCAACAACCATCTATGACTCCAATTACAGGGGACCCAGAACCCTCTTCTGGCTTCCATGTGCCAGACATATGTGACAGACATATAAGTAAAACACCCATAAACATAAAACAAATAATCATAGTTTTTTAAAGAATTAAGGTTCAAATAAAATATCCCAGGTGAAAAATACCTAGAGGCAAGCTTTAAAAAAAAAAAAATTAATTGTCCAACATCTGGGAAGCAGAGGCAAGAACACTGATGAGGCTACATCAATTCTATCTCAAGAAATTAAAACCAAGGATATCTCCTGGATTTTTACTTGCTGGATTTTTAACATAGTTTTGGTTATTGCAGTGTAATAAAGAAACTATTTTACTTCACTAATCATATACAGATAGAGCTAAAAGACATGAGCAACCTTTAACTGCTAGACAACTACAATTATCACCAGTGACAAAATTAAAAGGCAGAAACCGTCTTCTGTTTCACATCTCTAGTTTTCCCAATAAACTTATCAATATATAATTCCTCATATCAATTTTCCTTTGGCTTTACTTACCTTTAGTAACTTATTTTTTTCAAAAGCTATCTAACCTGATAAATTTAAATAGTACTCAAGCTAAAGAGAAGACTCGGCAGGGAAGAGAGCAGGAGTTGGGTGGGGAGAATAGCAGACAGAATTGAAGGCCTCAGAGATAACTCAGAGTCAAGACCCCACTAAAAAGGAGAGAGCCACACAGTTGTCCATGCAGAAAAGCAAGCAGGTGCGAAGCCTCAGGAGCAGGACACCTGCCACAACAGCAAGGGATTCCTGTCACAGCGGGGGAGGAGGAGAATGTGAGCAAAGAGAAGAAAAGAAGGGCAGCTAACTTCCAAACCACAGTGAGTCTGGCAGGACAGACAACACGACTTTACCCTGAATGAGAAGGAAGACGTTGCTGAAAGCAAAGTACAGAAAATGCAATTCACTTCTGCATGGTTGCTCTAACTGCTAGCTCTCAATACAACTACAAATGAGTGCCTATTGCTATAATCCATACAAGAGCCATGTTGGCCTGCAGAAAAGCAGCAGACACATTTCATAAACACTTTATATACACACTTTGAAAATATAGTCAAATTATTATTGATGAGTCATATATATGGTGTAAAGCACAGAGGAGGTTGGAGAAACTGGCATGGATTTTGCCTCATGCAACTCAATATAAAAACTGAAGTTACCACTAACAGGTATTGAGGATAGTGTAGGAAGACTTGGGAAGAACTTAAGTGGATTATGAACTCATCTCCAGATGGATACTCATGGGATGTCACTTTGACCTCTGAATGGAGATATCATGGAAGCAGCTGAGGAGCTGGAGAGATGGCTCAGCTCTTAAGAGTAGTTGTTGCTCTAACCAAGAACCTGGGTGGCTCACAACCACCTGAAACCCCAGATGTACAGGCTTCAACATCTCCTCTGACTTCAGACACTAGGCATGCATGGGATACACATACATTAACAAAAAAACATTCATACAAACAAAATAAATCCTCAAATTTAAAAAAAAAAAAAAAAAGACAAAGGAGGCAGCTGAACATGAAGACATGACCCTGAAGCAGGCCAATCCAAGGTGACAGTCTGTTCGTGTAGCAGAATTTAAAGCAGATGAAGTCTTGGTGAGAGCTGGGGAGGGCAAAGCTTAGTTCAGGGCCATTTGATACTTATATTTTAAAGATTCGATATTTATTTTTTTAATCTCATTTTTAGTTTTAAAGAATTTTCTATCTTTAGTCTTTGCAAACTATCTTTTAAAAAAGGACAGATACAAAATAAAAATCTTAACATGTGTAATAATAGGTGCAGGAAAAGGAAGGGAAGCCCAAAATTAAGACTGCATGCCTTAAAACCTTTGAAAACAAAATTAGGAAACACTGCTAATAGCAAAAATCCTGGAGGGAGAAGGTAGTTGAGGGGTGTGACGGTTAATAATCATTTCGCTTGACTGGATTAAGAACCACCTACGTAACATGCACCCTTTGTGAGGGTCTAGGCAGGTGTTTCCAGCAAGATTAAACTGGAGGGGTGAAGGAGACCCACTCTGATTATGTGTCAGCATCTGTGAAGTAGGAGCCCAGATCGAAGGACACCAGATCGAAGGTAAGCACCAGCTTTCATCTTTCCCTGCATCCTCAAGTGTGAACACAATATGACCAGGTGGCCCACATTCCTGGACCATCCAGGCCTTCCAGAACTGAACCCTCCAAACATGAACCAAGACACACTCTTCCACACCTCACTTGCATTTGTCAGCTGTTTTGCCAAAGCAACTAGAAAAATAACAAATTCAGAAGTTTAAAGTATTTGTTCACTTGTCTAACAATCTCTTAGAGGTAAGAAGCTAAAGACATTTATATAATCCTGAGTCAGAAAACACAAGTGTATACTCTAACTGAAAACAAGCTCAAGGGCAATAGGTTCCAAAGAGCAGGCTTGAGGAAGAAACCGTCTCCTGTCATTCAGGAGCTTCCAGAGCTGTGTCTACAACCAAAACAAGAAGAACTTTAAAAGCCAAGTGAAGCTAAGGCTGTACGTTAATTCCTAGTTGAATGAAGTAATTACTAGTTGAATGCAAAGTTTAAAAAAAGACCATGTTCTTTTTTGTTATCAGTGTCTGCAAACACTGCTCAGAAAACAGTGCCTCCATCCCTGTACTTAGCCTAACAAAGTTCTTATAGAAACTAAGTCTTATAAAATTTCTTTTGGGCTTAAATTATCATTTTGGTCACAGAGAAAAGGGGGAGAGAATCAAGTACCAAGCAAGACTAATGCCATTTGTAACCACCTTACCAGATACCCTAGAGGTTTTTAGTTTCATTTTGATAAATACATATATAAGAAAAACAGCTCTTTCATTTTGATAACTAAATGTATTTGTATCTCTAAAGAGAATTTTGCTCTGTCAACTTGACTTAATGAAACAATTTAAGGTTACAAATACAAACAACATGTTTTAGCGAATCAGCACTCATCTTCTGAATCTACAGTCCCTCATCACCACATATCATCCGAGATGGTCTGGAGCACCCCTGGGATTATATCAGACTGATACCCTGAAATATTTCTTCTCATTACTAAGGGCTACAGTCTATTTTTTAAATTATGTGTCTGTGTTTGCACCTTTGTATGGGTACACGTGCTTGAGTCTCTGTGTGGGTTATGCATGCGAGTGTAGGCCCCCAAAGAAACCCAGAGGGGCCAAACGCCTTGGGAGCGGAGTTACAGGCAGTCATGAGCTGCAACTGAACTCATACCCTCTGCAAGAACAGACACTTCTTAACTGCTGAGTCATCGTTCCAGTCCCCAGAGGCTGCAACTGAACTGGTAAAAGAAATTAAAAAATAGGATCATTATACCAAGAGTAGACGGTGCTCCTGAATATAAATTACAATAAATGCTTTATTAAAATTTATTTTAATTTTATGTGTGTTTGCCTGAATGTGTAACTGTATATACCCAATATGCAGTTCGTACCCATGGAAGCCTGAGAGAACACTGGGTCCCCTCAGGCAGGCAGTTGGATAGCCATCATTTGGGGGCTTGGAAGTGAACTGGAGTCCTCTGCAAGGTTAACAGGTGTTCTAAATCAAAAAGCCACCTCTCCAGTCCCAGCACTCAATGTTTTCCAAGATAAGATTTTTTTTAAAGCCATTAAATTAACGAGACACAGACTTTCATTATTTGCCTCAAAGCCTAGTAGAATTCTGAGCTCTTGGTGCTAAATAAGCCCTTAACATGCTATTCCCTAGCTGCAATAAAATGTTTTGTATTCTTACTTCTCTGGGCTTAGCACTTCACAGGGCTAATGAAGTTTCCCTGTCTCTCATCTCTTTCCTGACACTCTAAACGTACATCCATGGCTTCAGCTTCCATCCCAGGCTGACTACTCCTTGTCCTGTCCCTATTCTCAAGGGCTCATTCTAAATTCACCACGCAGCTTTTCCAAAACACAGCCTTCATTTTATTTGTGTGTCCTCTCCAAAGCCTACCTCTGCAATCCGTCCACATCTTCTACTACCACTCTTTAAAAGGGCAAATGGTCTTTGTTGGTTTCAATTTTGTACTAGCTATTATTTTTCAGAAATATAAATCCTATCGTGTCCTTCCTTTCTCAAAATTAGCTAAGGTCTTCCTCATCTGTCATGCCATTAGATCTCCTCATGTTCTCCAGGACCTGCTGTTAGGACCACTTCCAAGGCTCAACTCCTATGTCTCAATGGACGCTGTAGAAACCTGCCCACTCTTTGTTTTCCTGACGCCTGCCTGTAATCCAGACTTTGCTCAAGAAGCCCCTCTTCAGGAGATGATTTCCCCAGCCTGAGACACATACTCTTCAGTAGGCTCTGGAACTTACCTTTATCACAGATCTCAATAACCAGACATGATAGCCTATACCTGTAATGTCCATACTCAGGAGGTAGAGACAGGAGGAGTGCTGAGAGTTCAAAACCAGCCTGGGCTATAGAATGAAACATGCTTCAATTTTTTTCTTATTTCTTTTATATTCTTAGCATATAAATCCCATTGAATGTCTTAGTAGCAACCCTGTTAACTTCCATAAATGGAAAAGCAAGTTAGCTCTTATTTTATTTTGTGCACCTGGATATCTTATGTAGTAATACCTACCACAAAGCAGACATCAAAAGAAACTCACTAAATAATACAGGGGGGGGGGGGAAATGTAATTAAATCACTTATTCAATTAAGGGTATCAATGGGTCCTAGAAAGAC